AACATACACCTCATTCCATCTGTATCTGACACTATGTCACAGGAGCTCGTAGAAAAGAGCGGCAACAGCCTCCAAGATGAGATCTCAACCTCTTCATACCAAGTATCCCTCCTTCAGATGCAGATCCACAGCACAATCCTTAACCGCGAGCGCAATACTTCAGTCATCCACGAGACTCAACCCCTTCGAGATATTTCCGAAACCTACCGCCAAAGTCTTGACTCATGGTTCGCGAGATGGAAAGAGATCACAGCCTCAACATCATCTTCACCTTCAACTCCATCTTTAACGCCACAGACATGGGATCACGCTCTTCAAGAAACTTTACTCTCATGGGGCTCACTACACTACCACCACGGCATGTCCCTCGTCACAACCCTCTGGCCAACACCAGGCGGAGATCCATCCGCCATTTGCGGCAGCGTCTCAAAGGCAGGGCTACAACTCGTTCGTCACCAGCAGCTTTTTGCAAATCTCACCTGCGAGGGAGCACCATCGGGTGAAGGAGATGTCGTAGTGTTCCCTTGCGAGTGGACGATGGCTCATTTGGTGCTCCAAGTTGGTCTCCGTGCTATGGGAGAGAAGGACAAGCCGATCGTCGGCGAAAAGAACGAGGACCCGTCACTGGCACTTTGCTTCTCGTTATTGCTGCTTCTTGAGGCTGATGACTCGAAACTATTGAGAGGGCTGTCACCAGTTTTTGAGCGGCTATCCGAGAAGGTTTCATTATGACAATAGATTTGAGATCTAGGGCGTAAACTCCTTATCCAGGCCGACGCAATCACAAGGTACTACGAAGACAATGCCGTGTTTTAAGCTCCAAGACGAAGTGAAAGTCAAAATATGCACGCTTTTGATGATTATTCTGATACCCTCTAACAACAAAACCCACTTTTCTAAATCCTGAAGTCCTTGTAAGACCACTTCTCCGTAAGCTTCGCCCTCGCCTGCTTCTTGAACGGGATATGTCTCCTCGACTCCACCTTTCCGCGGACAAGCAGACTACGGTACCGGTCCTTGAGCAGGTTACCCTCGGGCCTCAACAACCGCAGCGAATCCTGCAGCTCGTCGGGCAGAACCAGCTCCAGGTCCTTCTCGGGCAACTTCATCTTGCCGAGCTGTCTCCTCCGCAGCCGTCCCTCGTCCACGATATCCTCCTCGTCATCGTCGGCGTCGCTCCCCTCTCCCACCTCCTTGGCCAGCGCCAACGCGCTCTTGGAGGCGTCGCGGCCCGCAATCTCGGCCGCAATCTCCTTGATCCGCTCCGCCTGCGCCGCCTTCTTCTTCAACGCGAGCTGGTGCTTGGCCTCGCGCTCCGCCTCCTTGCGGCGCTTGATCCGGTTTCTCTGCTGCGGCGTCTTGCGCTGGGGTCTCTTGGTCGTGGGCTTGTCGTCCCCCTCGACGCCGCTCTCGAACCCTTCCCACGCGGAATCCTCGTCCCACTCGGACAGCTGCGCGCGCGCTTCCGCGGCGTCGGCCTCGGCGGCGGACTTGGCGACGGCCTCGCGCTTGATGCGGTCGGCTTCCTCGGCGGCGAGGCGGGCTTCTTCGGCGGCGACGGCGCGGGCGCCCTCTTCTTCGAGGCGGTCGGCGTAGTCGTCAAAGGTCGGGTTGTAGGAGTATCCGCCCGTGGGCTTGACGACGGCGGGGAGCTGGCGGCCGCTGGCTGTGAGGGAGATGGGGGCGTGTTTCAGGGTCTTGGGGGGCTTGGCTTTTTGTTCGGCGGGGAGGAAGTTGTCTTTGCTGGTCTTGTTTGCTGCTGCTACGGCCTTTGAGGAGGCAGAGGGCGCGGCACCCCAGAGGTCGTAGGTCGCTTCCTGGGGTACGAGGGCGGTAGATTCCTCCTGGTGTCCGTCGGCGACGCGACGAAGGCGGCTCAGTTCCTTGTGGGAGACCCAGTCGGTGCGCAGGCGCTTGACGGGGAGGAGGCCGTCCGAGGTCTTTGAGAGGGCGGTTTCGGCGTCGCGCTTCTGCTTGCGGGAGGAGACGGCGGGGACGGAGGAGCGGGCGGCGAGGATCTCGTCGGACTTGAGTGTCTTCTTTGGCTTGGGGCGCTTTTCGACTTTGCCGACAGTGTCGAGGGTGAAGAGGTCGGCCGAATCCTTTTCTGCGACGACGCCACTATAAGATATTTGGTTAGTTGTCTACTTTGTGTGCCAATTGGGGCATTTCCGAGAAAGGGAAAAGGTTTCCAAGGCAAAGAGGGTTACGTACCCGGCGATAATCTGTGTGTTCAACTCATCGAGACCTTCTTGCACCTCGGAGACGTCGACGTTCTTCCTCCACGCCTTCTTTCCCTTTCTTGAGGGCTGCTTGCGTTGCTGGGGAGCTTCGCCGTCGCCCGAGAGGGGCTTAAGAACGGGCATGTTGGATAGGTAGCCGAATCACACTTCGGGCTTGGAGGGGTTGTTTGGGTAGATAGGTGCAAAGAAGATGGAGAGAATCACCGGGGGTGTTTCTGATGTCGAAAAGTCGATCTTTGCGCCTTGCCCATTTGCTGGTCGTCGAATCTGCACTCTGCACCAGCTGGGACGGCGGGGCCTGGACCGTCCAGAAATTTTTGAGCAAGGGTCTTTTTTTTTGTCTTATCGGATATGGGGTCTTTCTTATCGATTATCAGCACGTGATGTCCCCCGTCTTTGCTGGCCTCCTCTGAGCCCACCTCAATGGATGACGGGGGCGTGGTAATGCGCCTAAAGGCGGACAGGTTGACCTCCTTTTACTTGTCCAGCTTGCTCAATTTCCACGACCCGCGATCTATAACGCTCACACCCCTCCTCCTCCCAGCCAGCCCAACTTCGCCCTCTCGTCGGATCTCGTCCTTTGATCTAGCAAAGCACTCGGCTTTTCAGTTTGGTTTTATTTGCCGACTCGACGACTCCCTTGCATCGAGCCAACGTGTTGGTTCTGTAGCCCGACTGGCGAACCCCCCGATACCACCCTTCGGAAGCTTCCCTTTGACCAAAAAACCGCAACCATGGCGTCCGGCGCAGGCGGGTCTTACAACAACCCCCTCAAGAAGTTCAAGTACGATTTGCGCCGATTGCGAAATGTTCCTGTTCAGACAATTGCACAATAAAACTAACACAATGACACCCCCAGGCTTGTCTTTTTAGGCGAGCAGAGCGGTATGTATCCTGCATTTTGTCTTGTTCGATGTGGCGAGAGAGACCCTTGGCTGATAAGTTCTTTGTGTTATTCGCAGTGGGGAAAACTTCACTCATCACTCGATTCATGTACGATTCGTTCGACAACATGTACCAGGCGACTATCGGAATCGACTTTCTTTCCAAGGCAAGCCATTGTTACATTTCCGGGCGAGGGACGAGGAACCACTGTCTAATACGTTGCAGACCATGTACCTTGAGGACCGGACAGTGAGATTACAACTTTGGGATACCGCCGGACAGGAACGTTTCCGCAGTCTGATTCCCTCGTACATTCGCGATTCCAGCGTCGCAGTCGTTGTCTACGACATTTCAAGTACGTGGAACTGCATGGGGGAGGCACAGAAGAGGGAACCCGTGACTGACTAGATGGCGATTTGAAGATGCGAAATCCTTCCAAAACACCAAGAAGTGGATCGACGACGTGCGCGCCGAGAGAGGAAACGACGTCATCATTGTCCTCGTGGGCAACAAGACGGATTTGAACGACAAGCGCGAAGTGACGACGCAGCAGGGCGAGGAGGAGGCCAAGAAGAACAACCTCATGTTCGTCGAGACTAGCGCGAAGCTGGGACACAATGTCAAGACGCTGTTCAAGAGAATAGCCCAGGCTCTTCCAGGCATGGAGGGAACGGATGCTGCCGCGCAAGCTTCAAGCCAGAGTGCGTATTCCCTTCTCTTTGAGATTTGGTTTATAAAACGCAGGGTGGTTTATGCTAACTTTAACGCAGTGATCGATGTCAAGACGACCCCCGCCCAGTCATCGCAAGAGGGATGCGCGTGCTAGACGAGTTTCTTAAGGAGACAAAGCAAAACAAAAAGACAGCGACTCTGGAGTAGAAAGTTCCCGAGGCGAGCCGTGACGGACGACGCGGGGCTGAGTTGGAGTTGCCGTTACGTTACGTTGCGACATGACTGGCGGGGCAGGACATCTTAAGCATAGCGTGCAAATGGGGATTTTCAGCATCAGTTACAGTTTGTATAATAACGGGCTATACTCCACGGTCGTTAGTACATACCTACATTTAATGGCTCTTTTTTCTCTTCTTTCCCCAATATTGTCTGTCTACATGGAATGCAAGTGTACTTATTCATACGTGAGCGTCATGTTGGCAGTAGTATGTGTCAAAAGTCAGCTGGCGAATGAGTTGTCCAAGATGCTCACCGCCCGAAATGGCACGGGACTCTCACGATGGCTGGCGTCCGTGATGCTACGGTGGGCTGTCACCGAGTGCCGGGGTCCGTTGAACATGTGGTGCCAGCGTAGGAATGGCCCGCAAATCCGTGGCATCGAATTCTCAGGTCCATCCACTTTTCGGATTCGGATACCTACCTTACCGCGTATATGTAGATAGCTAGCTGTGCACTCCCAGCCGGTGTTGCTGTAGATTGACCCAGAGAGCGAGGTGCCGCATCAGGTGCAGACGCGGGTGACGGAGAGCAGCGGCGCGGACTCAATGAAAACCCCGGGGCGTGACGCTATGACGGATCGGGTGGGGCCCATCATGTCATCGAGAATTTTAGAAAGGTGCGAACGCAGGGTCTTTCCGCTCTTTATTTTGTTTGGCGGCTGGCCCATGTCAATTGTCATCCGGCGCTGCCGCTTTGGTTAAAAGTGACGGGGCCTCTTGTTAGGCTCATCTTTTGCGACGCTTCCCCAAAAGCTTCCCACCCTCAGGTTCTTCTGACGTCTTTACGGATTACCTGAGCTCTCAGGACCCCTTTCTCTTCTGGCGCGATACCTACGGATACCCTCCTGCTGTATCCGTACACACAAACACCAACGAGACATCACCAAGACACAGTGGACGAACAGATAGACAGACGGACACAATGGCGTTCTCAAGATTCAGCATGCGGTTACCGCTCCCAAAGGTTAGCGTGTAACACAACCTCATCTCCCCCCAACCAACTACGCCCAACAGTTACACAACATCATGTTCATCATCCTTAACCGACGAATTACTGGGCGGTTGGCTAACATGGTAATCACGTTTAATGTGTGCGACAGACCTTTCTAGGATGCATCGGCCTTCAAACAGGCACCGAGGTCATCTCCCTCATCCTCCTCTTCAACAGGCTCACCGGCCTCTACGGTCTACTCGCCATCCTCACGGGCTACGAGCTCTCCGTGACGCAGCTGTCAATGTACCTCTACTCGCTGGGCGTCGTCGTCCTGCTGGCCATGTTCATGCCCCACATCCGCAAGCAGAGCCCCTTTGAGACGCTCAGTCTCGCCTGGCTCTACATCGTCGACACCGTCCTCAACGTCGCCTACACGACCTTCTTCGCCGTGAACTGGTACCTCAACAGCAGCGCCCTGGACAAGCACCCGGCAGGCAGCACCACCCCGGCCGCAGCCGGTCCCGCAGCAGCGGAGATTGCGGAGACGGCGCTGGCTAACGGGGCGCCCGTGGTTCCCGACGTGCCCGGCACGACGAAGCACATCGGGCCCCAGGAGTCGTGGATGAGCTTGGGGCTGATTTGCTCCGTCACGCTGGTGCGCGTCTACTTTGCGCTCGTCGTCATGTCGTTTGCGCAGCAGGTGCTGCAGCGGTACAGCGCGGCGGACATGGGCTGGGAGGAGGAAGGCCGCAGCAGCGGCGCCGGCAAGAAGGGCGGCGTCGACGGACCTTTCTCGCAGGGCGAGCCGGGCGGCGAGGGGTCCCGCGGCCGTATCGGGCGCGTGATGCTCGCCCTCGGTCGCGGGTACTGGCTTCGCGAGAGGCCTCAGGAGGAGTGGGCGAGCGCTGTGAGCGCCAAGTTCCGGCACACCGGAGTCTAAGTCTTTTAAGTATCGCGGAAGGGCGGATTCAGAGAGCTACCGACGGTACCGGTAGGTATTGACTATTGAAGCGGCAAGAGATGGATGTCGGTGCGGCATGTCGGGCGGCAGCGGCAGGTTGACCGCTTGGAGTGGATACCGCCGGGACGGCAAGTCGATGATGCCATCGGGCGGTGGTATCATTGGGCGATGGCATCATTTGAGATTTTCTGCGCGCCGAAAAAGAGGTGGATCGGGAGACTCATGAGCGAAATGCATGTCGGGGGCGCGATGGGGAATAGTGTACAACAACAGTTGATGACCCTCAATCACGGAAGGTGAATCGGCGTTTGGGTCATTGGGAGAGATGTTTCGTCACGAGGGCATTCATTCGGTTGGTGCCCGGTTCACGATGGGGGATTTAAAGTGGGACCGAGAACGAACGTTCATGGTTCCAAACCCCGAATTTGGGAAGAGCATACGATACAAGCCATACATATAATAAGCATACTTAGTAGCAGAGTAATACAAGATCTTGAATGCAAAGGGATCATTGGGTTGATTGGTGGGTATCGGGCATTGAGCGAACTGTGTAAGAGTGACAGGCGGAAACTGCAAATACAGAGTCTACCATTTGTAATCCGAAAGAATCTCCGGGGGAGGGGGATGGAGATGGTGGGGCAGTTGAACGGGATATGGAGCAGCATGTCAGTCTACGGAATAGTTTCCACTAGTTGACTCGCCTCCAGATGGATGGGATGAGGCACGGCTACGAGTCCGAGCATCTGCCTGCCTCTACCTCTGGTTGAGTCTTACTGAGCCTTGAGAGAGAGTGAGAGTGAGAGTGAGAGGAAAGGCTTACCGGCCGACAACGGCCTTTTTCGGCATTCGGGCATGGGGTCCAGATTCGCTGCCCCTGTTCATGCTGTATTAGCCAAGAAGTGCCATCCACTGATTCCAGCCATTTGAGATGGAATTTGTTAGAGTGTTGTTGAGTGGCTGATTGGGTAAGGCAGATGAGCTAAGAGTCCAGAACAGAGTCTACCTTAGTATCCTTCTTTCCAAGTTTACATAAGGCAATTCTTTCATAGTCGTAGCCGTCAACGACTCTCGTGATGAATAATACAGCATCCAGGACAGGAGCACAGAAGGCAACGGCACTCGCTGAAGTCCCGGCTCTTTCCCTCCAGCTCCAGGTACTTGACTACTTTACCACCTGGAAGAATCCCGATGTACCTTTTCTGAGCAATGTACACACACCAAGTGCAGCGGCATTGCCCCAAGGCAAGCCAACCCGCGGCGCAATGGGAGCAGTGCGGCATGGCAACTGGCGAATGGACTGGGGAGACGCTGCGCTAGCCGATCACGCAATCGACCCTGATGTCGACAAAATTCATTGTTTTCTGCGGGGCGAAATTCTCAGTGGGCACAGGCTCACAACGCCCCCCCAAGCACGCCAGCAACAGCAGGCGCAACCCGCCATCCAGCTGCTCTTGCCTGACTGAAAGACGACGAAACCAAGCAAGGGAAGGAACAGGAATTGGGTACTTGCCAGGTCACTTTCTGTTGATTCCAAAAGCAGAAAGAACCATCGGAGCTGTTTCGCAACTTCCTGGGGCACCTTGGACTTTTTTTTTATCAGCTTGTTATCCATCGATCTTCCCTTTTAGACCTCTTATTACCTTGACTTACACCACCATCTTCCTCCTCTCTCACACTCTCTCACTCACTCTCACCCTCTTCCTCCTTCCGCCTCCCATCTGCCATTGCATCCTACGGCGCCCTTCTCCGTCAATCCTTTCTACGGGTTGATCTGTCTTAGTCATTACTGCTGTAGTCGACTCATTGTTGGTATTCTGTCCATTCTTGGTTCCTGATCCAGTGGAAGCCAAACAGACAGCTCGAGAGGAATCCGGAACTGTATGTACACTGCAAACGGCAGCGAAAAGAGTTTTGAGACCGGCCACTATACGATACCCCCCGCCTTCGAAATTCGCCCTCGAAACCTCCTCCAAACACGCACATACACATATCGACAATGGCGCCGACAAGAGGTCAAATCCAGACGCCTGGAGAAGCTGGTAAGCAGTTGTTGTTCTCTTCAATTCTTTGCGTTCCACGGCTTTCGTCTGCTGTTACTGCTGCTGCTGTTGCTGGTGTCACCCCTGGTCTTGCACTCTGCAGCGTCCGTCATCCTTCAGCGCGTGTGCCCGCTGTAAATACAGCGAAGCTCCGACAATGTTGGAATTGGGCCAATCAGAGCTCTGCTATTTGTCGCATCCCAGCGGTGCAGAGTCCCCCGGCAACCCACTTGTGATGGGCATCGAGCAGCACCCAGAGAGAAAGAGGCAGAGGGATGATGGACGACGCCGACCAGAGACGCGGAACAGTCCCAGTCGCAGTTTGCGACGAGAACGATGACAATACTGGCTTGTGCTAACATGCCATCTCTACAGTTGCGAGAATCGCATACCTCTCCAGCGACGTCGTCGTCTCCGTCCAGCCTTCGCTGGCCAAGGACTCGGAGTTCTCATCCCACCTTAAGCGCTACGTCGCTCGCAACGACAAGAGCCTCGTCGCGAAGTCTTCAGTCACAGAGGTGAGCAACTACTCGATTCGTCTTCTCCGCGATCTTTTGGCTTGGAAACTGACTGTGACTGTCCCAGGTCCAACACGTAAGGCACAATGCCGACCCCCTCCTCTCCGTCTTTGCGCCTACTCGCGCCGGCAAGCTCGTCGCCGTAACGACCTCTTCTACCGTTCTCCTTCCCGCCATCTCCCACCTCTACAAGTTGGCAAACTACCCCGTCGTCCTTCACGTCGCCCTTCAGCCCGCTGGCTTCCCCGACTTCTCCGCCATTACAGCTATCCGCAACTCGGGATGGACTTTCCTGCAATCAGAGTCTCTCCAGGAGGCTCAGGATATGGCACTGACGGCACATGCCCTCGCCCTCCGCTCTGGCAAGGGTGTTGTGCACTTCTTCGCCTCGTCGAGCAGCGACGACGATGCTGCCATTGAGGCAGAGGACCCTGAGGTTGTGCGCCAGATTCTCGACGTTGACGCTGCGAGGCGCTTCCAGCAGCCGTCCAACGGCTCTGCCGCGTCGGCTGTCGGTATCTATGCCGATGACGGCCGACTGCCGGTGGCCTCTGACCGATCCGACGTGCCGCCGACCGGCTCCTCCCCCATTAGTGGTCTGAGCTCTTCCGAACTCGCATCGTCCGTGCACTCCAAGCTCGAGTCATCCAGGGCCTCGGTCCAGTCCAGCGCCGAGCACAGCGTCACCGACAGCCCACCCTCTGTCGTCTCCTCCAACGCCACCACGATCGAGTCGTCCCTCCCCGTCGTCTCATCTGAGGATATACTCAAGTATGCCAACGGCATCTGGGCTCAGATTAAGAGGATCACCGGCCGTGAATACCAGGCCTTCTTCTATGCCGGACCCACGAATGCAGAGAACTGCCTCTTCGTCTTTGGCTCTGGAGCCTACTACTTTGGTGATGTGATTGACCAGGCCCGCCGTGGAGGTGACTTCTCCAAGGTCGGCATCCTCACCCCCAGACTGTACCGCCCCTGGCTCAGCTCCTCTCTCATCGAGGCTTTGCCCAAGTCTGTGAAGCGCATTGCCGTCCTTGAGCAGGTCCACCGCAAGACCACAAAGTGGGGCCCCGTCCTCATCGACGTTCTCACCAGTGTGAAGAGCGGCCCTGGTGGTGTGCAGACCGTTGTCGGCTACCAGCTTGGCTACATTGACCCCAAGACTGTCATCCAGGCTCTTCGTGGCGTCCTGCAGAACCTGACTTCCGAGTCCCCTGTTCAGAATCTTGAGATCGGCCGCAAGGAGGTTCCCCAAGAGGTTCTCGAATACGGTCTTGAGAAGCCCCAGGTCGAGAACTCGTACACCAAGATTCTCGACCAGCTCTTTGGCCAGAGAGCCTACATTGCCAATGCCCTCAAGGCTAGCAATGCCGGCATCAACTCCTCTATCCAGGCTAGCCCTGAGTTCGGCTTCGGTTCCCTCTTGGCTCGCAAGGAGCGTCGCGTGCGCTTCGTCAACGAGGTCAAGGAGGCTGCCAACAGCAACCAGTTCGTGACGGATTCTCCTAAGAGCTGGCTCGCCCGCTGGGCAGCCAACGAGGCCGACTCCAAGAAGGCCAACGAGATCGCCGACGACTTGATCCCCCGCCTTGAGACTGATGGCTCCTCCATTGCCCGCAACCTATTGTCCAGCAAGCGATTGTTCCGCAAGGAGTCCCTGTGGCTTGTGGGATCCGATGCCTGGGCCTACGATCTCGGCAACTCTGGTGTGCACCACGTCCTGGCCTCTGGCGAGAACGTCAACATGCTCATTATCGACTCGACCCCCTACTCGGAGCGTGCCGCTGCCGATGCCAACCGTCGCAAGAAGGACATTGGCCTGTACGCCATGAACTTTGGCAACGCTTACGTCGCCTCTACTGCCGTCTACGGCTCCTACACCCAGGTGCTTCAGGCCATGCTCGAGGCCGACCAGCACAACGGTCCCTCCGTCGTCTTGGCCTACCTGCCCTACTTTGGCGAGACCGATTCTCCTCTCACCGTTCTCCAGGAGACCAAGAAAGCGATTGACGTCGGCTACTGGCCTCTGTACCGCTGGAACCCCGCCAACGAGGCCAAGGGCGAGCCCAACTTCACCCTCGACTCTGAGCGTATCAAGAGCGAGCTCAAGGCCTTTTTGGACCGCGACAACCAGCTCACCCAAATCATGCAGCGCGACCCCGTCTTCGCTGCCAACCTGTCGCAGGACTTTGGCTCCGAGGTCCGGGCTCAGCAGAAGCGCAAGGCCAAGGATGCCTACGACCAGCTTCTTGAGGGTCTCTTTGGCGCTCCCTTGACCGTGTTGTACGCCTCTGACAACGGTAACGCTACCAACGTTGCCAAGCGTCTCGGTAACCGCGGCAAGGCTCGTGGTCTTAAGACCAAGGTCTTCGTCATGGAGGACTACCCCCTCGAGGACTTGCCTTCTGAGGAGAACATCATC